TTTTTTTTTTTTTGTACCTGGGATTGAACTCGGGTCCTTGCGCTTGCAAGGCAGGCCACGGAACTGCTGAGCTAAATCCCAGACCCCCAGTCTAAAGACTTTTATGTTCAAGCGGTAAGATGTTAAAACCAGTTTTCTCTGGAAACTTTTATACTTTCCTCTTTATTCCTCGGAACCAGTTATAAGGCTATTTCAATGGACTAATGGAGTGATCTGAAGTAGGGTAGTGGGAATGAACAAAACAGTTAGTACTGATTCTATTTTCTAGAATTCTTTCAAGTCATTTATTTTTCAGTTCATTTTGTTACTGTTGGAGCTTGTTTTTTTTTTCAGTACAGGGTCTCAATAAAATGCCTAGGCTGGCCTGGAGCCTGTGATGCTTCTGCCTCAGCTTCCCAAGAGCTGGGATTACAGACATACACAGCTGTGTAAGTTTTTAATTTAGAAAAGTGGTGGCGATCCAAGAATGGTGATGCACATCTTGAAGCTATTTGGAGGCTAAGACAGGAGAACTGCGAGGTTCTGGACCAGCCTCAGCAACTTAGTGAGATCCTGTCTTGAAAGAAAGAAAGGAAAAAAAGAGAAGAGAAAGATGTGAGAGAAAAAGGGCCAAGCATTTAGCTGAGATCTCCCTGCTTCAATCCTCAGTATGGCAAAAAAAAAAGTGCAGACAGAAACAACAAATTTCTAGTCCAACTCCAAAAGCAAGAAATTAAAAAATCAAGACAAAGAGTATGTGAAGGCTATTCCAAAACTTATAAAAGCTGAAGCTGGTTTGTCCCAAAGCAATTCTTAATGTTTAGTGAATATCGTTCCATACTGCAGAACACAAAGTGGTGTAACAGTTGTATATCAAGTGCTCATTTGAAATGCACGGGACCAGAAGTGTTTCAGATTTCAGAATTGTTTTCCAGATTTCAATTATATGTATATACAACATGCACTATCATGGGGATGGGACAAAATTCTTTCATGTTTTCTATCTACTGTGTACAGAGCCTGAAGGTAATTTCATGCAATTACTGTACTTGTAGCAGGCCTGCAGTTTGACTGTGACCCGTCCCAAGCCAGTGTGGAATCTTCTAGTTGGGGCATCCCATCAGCACTCATGAAGTTGCAGGTTTTGAATTAAGGGTGCCCAACCTGTACATAGTTTAAAACTAAAGTTTCCACTGTCATTTAGAATATTAATACTCCAAAGTTTCTGTTTTGGCATACAGAAACTCAATTTTTGCTCTGTGGATATAACTTCACGATAGAGCTTCTACTTAGCATGCACAAAGCTCAGGGTATAATCCCCAGTACCGAGAGGAAAAAAGAGCTGGTTGATGTGCTACAACCCTGTTGTCGCAGCATTCTGGGAAGCTGAGGCAGGAGGATTTCTTAGCACCTTAGCAAGACCCTGTCTCAAAAAAACAAAACAAAACAAAAAAACAACAACTAGGATGTAGTTCAACATAAAGTTTGGGTTTAATCCCCAAGACTGCAAAAATGAATAAAATAAATATAAAATATAACCATAACCCTACAACCCATACTGCAATATGAGTAAGTTAACCCCGCAATATTATTTGGCTTTAATGAAATCAAAGTTTTCAAGTTAAATGACTTAATATTAGCCCAAATCCATTCCTCTACACAAAAGCACAGCAGCAGGAGGCTTTCCTGTCTCTATGCTGACACTGTTAACTCCTAATGAATCCCTGACTGAGCTGGAACTGAAATTTCTATGGTATGACATTATTTGAACATATCTGAGGAATTTACATAACAGGATAAAGAACAGAAGTAAGAGGTAATAGGTGCTTCAGTACCACCCATATTATCCACTAAGACCACAGTGTGGGCAACAGAGTGCAGGTTCATGGTAGCAGTTCCTTGAATGAAACTCTGTAGACAAAATCTTCCACAAATACAGGTTTTTGCAGTATCCAAATCTTGACAAAGATGGAAAGGAATGACATGAAAGGCATATGGAATCCTATTGGGGAAAAAAAAATGTATGTTACTAGATGAAACAGAACTTCATGTTTAAGTACAAGAATTACTAGGATACTGAATTATGAAAAAAAGAAAATTATTTCCCTCAGGGGACTCAGTATATCATTTTCCTAAATGGTAAGAATGGGACAAATGTTAGAAGGTGAGGCAATAGGATCACAAGTTTAAATCCAGTCTGGGTAACTTAGTGAGACCTTATTTCAAAATAAAAGATGGGCGGGGGGTTGGGAGTTTGGCTCAGTGGTTCTGCCGCCTGCCTCACAGGCCCAAGGGCCCAAGTTTGATCCCTAGTACCAAAAAACAAAACAAAATAAAAAGGGGGGAGGGCTTGTGGGTATCACTCAATGCAAAGGTCCTGGGTTTAACTCTCAGTACCTGCCCCAAAAGCCTATGATATACTATACTATCATCTTAAAAAGGGTCTGTACCAGTGATAGTGAACTTTTGAGAGCTTGCAATGACGTGAACAGCCTGCTGTGGCATGTGTGCCTTAGGTTCACTGCCATTGATCTATACCAATCCATAAAGTACTTTTCAGCAGGAGCACTTTCATGATCTATATTTCTCATCTATATCATCTAAAAGTAACTCTACAGCTAATGTAACACTGATTGATCTCTTTGACAGAAAAGCAAATTTATACAACCAATAAATATTGAGAACTTTTAAAGATGGGCACTGTTCTAGGCATTTGTATTTATGGTCACTCAGTGGGTAATTACTTCTTACTTAGGGGCAAGTGCCTTAAACCAATGGTTCTTTACTTGATCTTACTTAAAAGGCCAAGAAGCAATCAAAACCTGTGGTTTTGACATTGTGGGCCCCTGACCAGCAGTATGACTTGGGAACTTGCTAGAGATGCAAGTCCTTCAGTTCCACCACACTTCCTCCAATTTTGCAGACCAGCAATCTTTCTATTGATTGATTGGCTTTTCTTTTTTTTTGGTACCAGGATCAAACTCTAAATCCCCGGTCCCAATTGATTGGTTTTCTGAGGCAGTGTCACTATGTTGTTCAGGCTGGCCTTGAACTCCCTATATAGCCTAGGCTGGTCTTGAACTTGCAGCGATCCTCCTGCCTCAGAGTGCTAAGATTACAGGCCCGCACCATTACACCCAGCAGTATATCCTATTTGAAATATAATCTCCCTACCAATTTATAGCACTCAGTAACTGTTTTCTACCTGAGCTTTCATACCTATGTGAAAGCATGAACAAAACAAGTAACTAGTTTCTCAAGAAACAAATTCTACCTGGGCCTGTGGGCACTCACCTGTAATCCCAGTACTCGGGAGGCTGAGGATCATTGTGAGTTCGAGACCAGCCTGGACCACATAGTAAGTTTCCAGGTCAGTCTCAACCACATAGTGAGACCCTGTCTCAAAAAACCAAAAACCACCACCACCACCACCACCACCAACAAAAAAAAACAAAAGAGAGAACCAACAGCTACTCAATCATCCTATATGACAAATGCTTTGACTTCATATTACCTCATTTATCTTCACAACTGTATAAAGTAGGTGGTATTTCTATTTCACAGATAAGAAAATTTAATCTAAGAGGTTACTGAGTTCAAATCCAGCCTCAACTACATACCAAGAACCCATCTCAAAGTACAAGAAAATTCCATGAAAAACAAAGAATTTGCTAAAGTCATTATGATGAGGCAAACACTCCAACTAACTCCAAACACTGTACTCTAGCATGATGCCAAATCGGAGTTCTCAAACTTCAGGGTGTGGTATCAGCTAGCTGTGCCCAGCTCTCAGGTTTTGATTCTGGAGATCTTGGGTATGGTCACAAACCTCTATCTCTAACAAGCTCTGAGTGATGTGGTAGCTGCTCAGGGAATTATACCTTGGGGACAATGCCATTCATCGAACAATTTATTAAGTGTTTACTACACACTAGAAGCAGGGGCACCATAGGAACCCTGGGACAGTGATGGCGAACCTGTTAAGAGCTTTCAATGGTGCTGTAGCATGAGGGCCATGGGTTCGCCAACACTGCCCTAGGGAAATAGTGCAGAATAAAACAAAGTTTAGCCATCTCAGATCATACATTCTAGTGGTAAAAACTGACAGCAACAAAATAAAAGTTAAAATAAAAATGTAAGGCTAGGCAATATTATGACCAAAAAAACCAAAACAAAAGAACTCACCAAAAAAAAAAAAAAAAAAAAAAAACCCACCCAAAACCGAAACAATCAAGCCCTGTAGTAAGACCCTTTTGGAATGACATCTGGGTAGAAAACTGAATGGAGCAATGAGATTTCCTGGAGGAAAATTATTCCAGGCAGAGGTTAGAAATATCAAGAAGACCATGGTGTCAGAGGACACATGTGAAAAAGAATTCCAATGTGTTTTGTATATGTACCAACTCCCCATGATGAATGCAATCATTATGCACTGAAAACATGTACTACTAATGATAAAAATCCTACATAAAACAAAATACAAATTAAGCCAGGCATGGTAGGGTGAGGCTAGAGGATCTGAGTTTGAGGCCAGCTTGGGCTGTACAGTGAGTTCAAGGTGAACCTGAACTATACAGACTGTATCAAAATATGAAAATACCGAAAAAGTCAGCCAGCAGAGCAAGGAGTCAGGTTGGACACAGCATTGGGAGTTTTCTCAGACTGTGACTATTAATGACTTTGATGAGATAAGAGGATGCTACCCAAGCACATTTTATGACTATGATAGCCTTACCTATTATATAGTATGGTTCGTGCAGATAATTCCAATAAACTTAATGGCACTTGTAGTTTTATAATTGGAAGGGCTTTAGGTTGTTCAAAAGTATTTCCAAAAAGATCCAAGTACTCAAGAGATAAATTTTTAAATTCACTAGGCAAAACTGGAAGCTTATTTCGAGCTGCTGACAAAAAACGAAGATTTTTTAACTGTCCTATCTTGAAAGGAAGTTGGATCAATTCATTATCATCTATCTTTAAATCGTTAAGTTCTTGGAGCTGGCTAAACTGAAGAGGAAGTGCTTTGATTTTGTTCTTGCTAAGATCCAGCCTTCGAAGTGACTTCTGGAGTGTAGACTGACAAAAGGCCACACTGAAAGACTCTAAGCAGTTGTCACTCAGGTCAAGTTCTTGAAGCTGTATGAGATCTCCAATTGTAGCAGGAAGGTTTTTTATGTGGTTATGACTCAAGTCTAATTTCACAAGGTTTTTTAAAGAAAGCATTCGTGTGTCAAATCGGACGAGACCACAATAAGAAGTCTGAAGATGTTCCAGGGAATATGGAAAGTTCTTGCTTAAGGGATATTGTTTTTTGCATGTGATAACCATTTTAGTTTTAAATTTTTCAAATTCTGAAGTCTTCACTGGTATGAGTGTTGAAAGTGATGTGTTGACATCACAGCCTCTATGAGCCAGTCTCACAGCTGAAAGGAAACCCTTTAAACTGCTGGAATTAGCCTAAGAAAATAAAAATTGATACAATTATAAAGACCCTTTAAGATAATGCATTCGGGCTAGTTCTTCCCATAGCAAATACTATATATAGTCCTCTAATAGGAACACAAAACAAAACAAAAAAACATGTACTATAGTTCCGCAGTATACAGAAAGTGACATAACTATTGATTGAAACTGGCTGTAAAACAAACTTTTTAATATTTTATTTGATCTAAATTTCTACTTTAAGTTTCCCAAAAAAGGTATGTTGAGGATCCATATTCTAAATGATACTGTTCAAAGAGAGAATCCCGATACAATAAAAATAAGGAAGGAAGGCAGTAAAGATTCTTCCTAAGATCTGGGTTAAAGATCAATTGACCCAAATCCTCAGTGCCTCTGAAATAGGCCAGGTTTTCTTTTTTGGTACTGGGGATTGCACTCAGGACCCTGCACTTGCAAGGTAGGTATGGTGCCACTGAGCTAAGTCCCTGGCCCACCAGGTTTTCTGAATACTACAAAAGGCCCAGGGTAACTTTCATAAAACACCAGGAGCTTTGTAGAATGACCCTTCTCCAAAGCAACAAAGGAGAAATCACTGATTAAATGGCATTTGAATTAAATCATCAGTAGAAATAGCTACTACTTCAAGGATACTTTAGAAGTTTCCTAAAGTTTAAAAGTGAAGGATGAGTAAATTTTCAGGAAGCTGGGAAATTAAGTATGTAATCGTGTTTCGTTGGAATGTGGGAGCTACGCACAGGACAAGATTGGAGGTACAGTACAGTATTACGATAGATTGTGAATGAGCTTGGATGGTAAGGGCTGGCTATGGGATATCACTGAAGGATTCTGAGCATGAGACTTATACGACAAAAGCAAAATACTCTGGCAGTAGTATACCCAATGACCAGGAGTGGAAAGTCTGAAGGCCTGGGTCAAACAGTTAAAGGAGGGAACAGTGGCTTATAGATGGTGATGTCACCCACAACAGTGGAGCTATGGAAATGAAAGGCAGGCAAGGTAGAGAACAGGCAGAGGACTGAAATAAAGCCTGTATTTCAGGGATAGAAAAAATGTTTCTAGAGATAGGAGACAAATAAACAGCAAAGAAAACTGAAGGTAAACCAGGATACTGCCCTACCACGAAAACCAAGAAAGGAATAAGTTTTATTAAGGAAAGGGTGATCACTAGTGTTAAGTTATACAGAGTACAAAAAGAATGAGAAATAACAGCACTGTGACTGGCAAATAATGAGATCACTCATTTTTAGGAGATTACTGGGGATTTAGGGTATTACTGGGGATTAAATCCAGAGCCTTCAAATGAGCTACAACCCCAAGTACCCTCCTCCTCCTTTGTGAGACAGGATCTCGCTTTGTAGTTCAGGCTAGCCCTGAACTATATAACCCAGGCTACCTTGAACTCCTGCCTCAGCTTCCTGAGATCTTTTTATTTTTTAGTTTTTTAGTACTGGGGATCGAACCTAGGACCTTGCACTTACAAGGCAGGTGGTGGGACCACTGAACTAAATCCCTGGCCCCTTTTTATTTTTTAGACAGGGATTTTATGAGTTACTATATTGCTTAGGGTGGACTTGAACTTTCCTGCCTCAGTCTCCCATGGTGCTGGACTACAGGTGTGTACCACTAAGGAATATGAGATTACTGATCTTCCAGGTAGTGTTTCGAATAAACCAATAAAAATAAAGGTCCAAAGACAGAGCATGAAATCAGAGGCAACAGAATCAGTTTTGTCGTTCCAGAAATATATTTATTTCATTTTACTATCACACTTTTGACATTTATTCATTTATTTCAGTATTAGGCTTCATATATGCTAGGTAAGCACTCTATCACTGAGCTACATCCCAGTCCACTTTTTTATATTTTGAGACAAGCGGAACTCAAATTTGTAATAATCCTGCTTCAGCCTCCTGAGTAATTAGAATTACAAGTGTGCATCACTACATACAGCTGTATCTTAGTTTTTAAAATAGTAAGATCTCAGTTTGTTTTTAGATAAAGTGGTTAAGATGAAGATCAAGAAGAAAATGAATTCAGGTGTGGTGGAACATGCCTGTAATCCCAGCAATCTGGAAGCCTGAGGCAGGAGGATTGACAGTTTGAACCCAATCTGGGAAACTCAGCAAGACCTTATCTCAAAACATATTTTTAAAAAGGATGGCGGAGTGGGTCAGGGATTTAGCTCAGTCATGCCGTTGCCTGCCTTTCAAGCGCAATGTCCTGAGTTTGATCTCCAGTACAAAAAAAAAAAAAGTACAGGGGATGTGCCAGAGAGTTCAGGGTAAGACCATCCTGACGCTCCTCCCTGGGCACAGAAACAAACCCAGTTTCCCTCCCCATTCTGGGAGCCTAACCAAAGCAACCTCTGCTCTCTTAGGAAGTGCAGGATATACAAGGATATATGGGAAGCCACTTCTGTACCACTGTCTCTTCAACACACCCACAAGTCTGTCCCTGGTCAGCTATGTGTGATATCAGGGTATCTGAACAGCTTTCTTCTTTAAAGAATTAAAAGAACCATACCACAGTGACATATGCTCACCCATGTTTATAGCGGCACAGTTTGTAATAGCTAAAACTTGAAACAGCCCAACTGCCCATCCACTGGAGACTGGATAAAGAAGACATGGCTTTTTATTAAAATGGAGTACTACTCAGGCATAAAGAATGAGAAACTGGAGCGGATGCACATTGAGGCCACATTCTTAAGTGAAATTAATAGGACACACAAGTGTTAATACAGAATAGTTTCTCTGGTATGAAAAGCTAAAAGTGTAAATAAGGATCAACATTTACAATTGATATTGTGTAATAGGAAGAAAAGGTCTAAAGGAGTAGGGGAGATGGGAAGGGTGGGGGAAAGGTAAGAAGGGAAAAGAAAAAATATGAGAAAAGCAAAAAAAAAAGGAAACAAAGTCTTTGTAAATAGGGAAGGGTTGAGGAGGAAAGGGAAGGTAGGGGAATGGGGAAAAAATAAGAACCAAGATATATAATGTCAAGGTATAAGATGCTAAAGATGAATGTAACTGTATTGTATACCTAAAATGTATCGATAGGGCCTGGGATTTAGCTTAGTGGTGCTGCTGCCTGCCTCACAAGTGCAAGGTCCCAAATTTGATTCCCGGTACCAGGAAAAAAAAAAAAAACAAAAAACAAAAAACAGGGCCAAGCAACTGATTTATGTATGTATGTATCCATTCATTCATAGATACAGTCTTGCTATGTTCGTTTGTTCGTTCATTCTTTGACTCTTACTATGTAGTTCATTCATTCATTCACTGATCCATCCATAGAGACTTACTATGCAGCTCAGCCTGCCTTGAACTCATGGCAATCCTCCTGCTTCAGTCTCCTGAATGGTAAGATTACAGGTGTGCACCACAATGCCCAAGGGTTGCTGTTTCTAATATCATACCTTACTTAGACAGATATCCACAGGAGGTTCCTTTAACCGGACAGTGGCCTTCCCTTCATCCACAAATTTAGTGAAGAATTGCTCAATGTTCTCCTTTAGCTGCTTAAAACCAACAGGAAAAAAAAGGACAAAAGTAATATTGTTATTCAGTACTTATTACAGTCAGATTTTGGTTTGGCTTTGAATCCTGAAGTCTGGGTGTTTTAGTTTTGTTTGGTTGATTTTTTTGGCAGGTGAATAGTTACATCCTCTATCTAACTTTCAGTATATTATTGCCAGATTCCTTTTCTGAGAGCAGATTTCCATGTTTCTGGATAATGTCTCTCCTTTCCTATTCCGAGCTACTCATACTACCAAGAGCTGCAATACTAATTTGCTTTCATAGCCTCAGTCCGTTAGTTTGGGATGGACATACACTCCTTAACAGTAGAACTCTTGTCTCAATTACTACTGAATCCCCAGAACTACAAAAACGACTGACACAATCTTTTCCATGACAGATACTGCTTCTGCTTTCATTCAACAACTACTGAGGAGCCACTATGTACCAGGAACCTTGACAGGGCTTTGGGATATAGTGTTGAAAAAGACTGGCCTGGTAACTGTGCTTACAGAGTTGATAATTTGATGAAAGTTATTAAACAAATAATTTGAGGCCAGCCTGGGCTACATAGTGAGTTCAAGACCAGCAAAACCTTGTCTCAAAACAAAACAAAACACAACCACGGGGTCGAGGATTTAGCTCAGTGGTTCTATCGCCTGCTTTGCAAGCACAAGGTCCCGGGAGTTCAATCCCCAGTACCAAAAAAAAAAAAAAAAAAAAAACCCAAAAAAAAACCAAAAAACAACACACAACAATTTAGATTTTATCCTAAGAACAATAAAATCTAGGAAAAGAATTTTAATCCCCAACACCTGTTATCCCAGCCCTGGGGAGGCTACAGCAAGATAATGCAAGTTTGAGGGAAACCTGGGATATATACCAAAACCCTGTAAAAAAAAAAAAAAAAAAATCAAAACTACATGAAGCTATAACTCAGTGGTATAGAACTTGCCTAACATGTGTGGGCTCTGGGTCCCCAGTATCAAAACAAAAATAAAATCCAAATTCCTTCTAACTACAATGTCAAGCTGGAAGTCTGAAGGAGAGGTGGATGGGATTGGGGCGGGACAGTGGTAGAAGTAAAGGGAGCCCTTAAGAGATGTGTATACACATCCCTAAGTGGATACACACTGAGGCCATACTCATTTTTTCTTGATACCAGTGATCGAACTTAGGTCCTTACACTTGCAAGGCAGGCAGCAGAACCACTGAGCTAAATCCCTGGCTCGGACGCCATACTTTAAGTGAAATTAATAAGACACATGAGTAAATCCCAAATCTGGCGTGAAAAACTAAAACTGTAACTAAGGATCAAAATGTATAATTGATATTGTGTAATAGGAAGGAAAGGTCTGAAAGAGTAGAGGAAGTGGGAGGAGTACGGGAAAGATAAAAAGGGAAACAGGGAAACAATACCTTTGTAAACAGGAACAGGTGGAGGAGAGGAAGGGAGGGCTGGGAATGGGGAAAAAAAATAAGAATCCAGGCAAGTAATGTAAAGGTTCAAGATCCCAATGATGAATGTAACTATTGTATACCTAAAATGTACCAATAAACTTAATACATAAAAAAAGAGAGAGACTAGCCAGGGCGCTGGGGGCGCCGTCTCAAAAATAAATAAACAAAAAATAAACACACACACACAAACAAACACACACACACATATGAATGGATTCCATGAAAAGAGGAGAAAATTAAGACTTTCAATTACTTACAATAAACATAAGGTGAATGAGATAGGAAGATCTTTTTCAACTAAATATTTACCGTGGAATATAACATGCAAGGGAAATAATGCCCGGGAGTTGTATAAAACTCAAGTCAAATGTCAGGTGCAAGGAATTGTTCCCTCGACTTTGTACTGCAGGTTTACAAATTGTCTGGTAACGGAGAAAGGTATTTGAGGAATCCCTATTTTAAATACTTTATTTCAACTTCTAACAGTCTCTACAAAGTTTGCCACGGCCCTATTGGTACTCTTTCCAAGTTGACAGCTGCCTCACTTGCAGTTGTTTCACACAGGCTGATACTGCAGAATAATCAAAGAGCGCGGTTTCTTTGTAACCCTGAACAGCAAAGCTGTAAATTCCGAGTCGCAGAGATGGGCAAGAAAAAGAACTCCAAAATGACCTTTAAAGCTTGCTTCCTTGGGATGGAAGGAAGTCGCGCTGAGCCCTAGGGCCGGGGTGGCGTGGAGCTCAGGGGCGGCCCCTGCCCGGTCCCGGAAGAACCCGTACCTGGTAGCGGGTCCCGCGCTTGTCCTTCACCGTAGAGATGAGGAGGCAGGCGGAGTGCGGGCCGGCCCGCTCGCCCCTCTCTGGGGGCCGCAGCTGACACAGGCTCACCACGGCACGGGCGCCCTTGCCCCGGTTCCTCAGCCCCAACGTTGGCAAGTGCCGGCTGACCACCTCCACCTCGCAGTGCAGCCTCATCTCCCCGGCGAACCGCCACCCTAGCCACCGCGCTTTCAAACTTCC